TCCATCTTGAATGGTGTTTAGTGTTTTTATACGATATCCCCACTTTCTCTCAATTTGTAATTCAATACACAAATTAATAGGTTCCGTTAGGTTAGCTATATGTTGTGTCTTATCAATGACTTCCACCGAAGGTGGTAAAATGATGTCTTGAGCAGTTACATATCCAGGACCTTTGAAAGAAATAGACGCCTCCCGAGTTCCATACAGATTACTTCTCAATACAATTTCTTTCAAATTCATTAAAATTTCATGTATTGATTCTTGAATACCTACTACAGTAGAATATTCATGTGAAATTTTCTCAGGTTTTGCACGTGTGATACATGTTCCGTCTATTTCTCCGAGCAAAATTCTTCGTATTGCAATGCCTATTGTATCTGCTTGACCTTTCAGAAGTGGAGACAGAATAAAGCGTCCATAATAAAGACGCTTACTGTCTACCCTTGATTCAACACACTTCCACTGTAGTGTCTTAGTAGATACATTTAGTTTTTCTCGAATCATAGTAATCTATTTTTATAAAACTCTTGATTTAATTGTTTATTTCTCTTGAAATCTTTTTCTTTCATATTTATTGTTAGTTTTACACACTTCTTTTTTTAGGAGCCCTACATCCATTATATGGTATAGGGATTACATCCCGTATAACGTTTAATAGTATCCCACTTCGAAAAATAACTCTTAAAGTCGTATCTCTTCCTCGACCGGGACCCTTTATGCTGACGTCTGCTCGTTGCATGCCTTGATCGACTACTGTTCGAAGAGCATTTCCCGTTGCGGTTGTAGCGGCAAATGGTGTCCCTCTTCGTGTACCCTTGAATCCACATGAACCGGCGGAGGACCAAGAAATCACCCGACCTCCTACATCTGTAACAGTCACAATGGTATTATTGAAACTAGCTTGAATATAAATAACCCCCTTTGGTATTTTACGCGGATGCTTACATGAACCAATACGTCCAGTATTCCGTGAACCAAGTTTTGGTATAGATTTTGCCATTTTTTTTATTTAAAAAAAAAAAGATAAGTCCGAAATATATGGATATATCCATTTCCTGTCAAAAAGGATTCTTTATTATTTTCTAACTAGTTATTCTATTGTATTCTATAATTCAAATATTAAGCAATAAGCAATTCTATTTATTCGAATACTTATAACTATAGACTAGATTCGAATATAGAATCTAAATTTTTCGATTTGTATGATTTAGTATTTAAGAAAAGGGCTTTCCATTAATAAGATTTTGAATAGAATTCAAAATCTTATTAATGGAAAGCCCTTATTTATATTAATTTTATATTTTATATTAATTTATTATTATCCTTGTCGTTGTTTATGTTTTGGATTCGAACGAATTAATATAAGTCGACCTCGCCTACGGATCAATCGACATTTTGCACAAATTTTACGAACAGAGGCCGCTACTTTCATATTTTTAACTCAGAAATTCAATTGAATACCAAATTTACATGTTGTAAGAAAATGGGGTTTCCTTACATTTTGAACTTAAAATTGTTCCTCCTAAATAATATTTTCAAGTTATGTAAAGACTCGGGTGGTCATCGTCATTGACGTCCCCAAGAATAGAAACTCTATCAATCAATAGGGCCAAAATCTTCATCAATCTCTTCCAAAATCAAAATCTGCCGACCGACATTTCGAGAATAATGTTGATACAATAAACTGTGTACAAATTCTCGATCATATTGCATATATCCTACAACAAAATATGAATCTGAGGTGGCTGCTGAGCTCACCTTTATAAATAAGCCCTCATACTTAAGGTCTTTGTCTATTTCTGCTAGAAAATCGTCTGCGTGTTCCGAAATCGGAATATAGAAGGTTACCAAATGTAAGGTAATCATAGAGAAATATCCTTGGGTGTTTTTTTGTTTGTTTTTTTTCTCTTGAAATTCAATTTACCTAAAGCAACCTACAACATTGCAGGTTGCTTTAGGTAAATTGATAGATTCAATAAAATTAAGCGAAGTACCCACCATGATCGTCATCGTCACTAGGACCAGCCAAAGTAACAACATCCAAAGGGCCCCAATTGGGATCCAGAAGCGCACCAAACACAATATTCATATGGGCTTCTAAATAAAAGAGATGCAATAAAATTTGTGTTTCTCTTTGATTATATTGCGAATACATTCGGATAAAATAGAATTCTGCGGAGGGTTCTACTAGGTCTCCAATTATAAATTTGGAGTCGTCGTCCTGAAATTCTTTTTTCATGACTTCCATAAAATCGTCTGCGTGTTTCGTAATCGGAAGAAGTAATTTTACCATATTAAGCATATTATCTCACCTCCTATTTTTTCTAATCGAGCCCGTCGATCGATGATTATACCCCTAGAAGTAGAAAGAATTACAATCCCTATTCCTCCCAAAACTTTTGGGATTTTGGGATAGTTCGAATATATTCGTAGACCGGGCGTACTAATCTGTTTAAAATTTAAAAAACTTTTAAAAGGATATGATCCTTTATTATTTCTTCTATACTTTAGAGTTAAAACTAAAAAGTTTTTGTTGCTTTCTCGATGTTTTATGACGTTTTCAAGAAAACCCTGTCGTAAAACAATTTGAACAATGTTTTCATTCATCTTAGTGAACGGTATTGGAATAATTCTTTTTCTATTTATGTCCGCATTACGTAACAATGTGAACATATTTCCGATCATATCTTTGTTCATGATAGCCTCATGTAATTATGTTTTTTTATGCTATTAGGTGGAAGAGAATAAGGTTTTCTTTCTAAGATAACGAAGCTGTTTTTTTATTTATTTATTTATAAGAGGTAGAATAACCCGGTTGAAGAGAGTATATATTTCATTTTTATTTTAATATTTTTCTTGAAAATAAGCAAATGAAAGGCTTTTATTCTGTACATGTTAAATCATGAATTAGTACATGGAATCTCCAAAAAAATAACCCTTGATGTATGTATCCTTAGGTCTATGTGTGTATATGGACCATAGATCCTGTTCATGGATATTTATGTATGGATCCCCTGTATATTTATATAATATATATATAAATCCTACTACTGATTCATGGGGATACTCCATCAAATATCAAGTATAACGTATTATATCAGATTATAGCTCCTCGGGTGCGAGTGAAATTATTTTAGTAAAATTTAACTGTCTCAATTCTCGGGCTATTGCGCAAAAAATTCGAGTTCCTTTTGGATTTCCCTGTTTATCAATGAGAACGGCTGCATTATCATCATATTTAATTATTATACCATTACGACGTTTTAGTTCTTTTGAGGTACATAAAATTACAGCTCTGATGACTTGAGATCTTTCTAACGATGAATTTGGCACTGCTTTTTTGATTACAGCGACAATAATGTCACCCATATAAGCATACCGTCGATTACTAGCTTCTATGATTCTAATACACATCAATTCGCGCGCTCCGCTATTATCGGCTACATTTAAATTGGTTTGAGGTTGAATCATATCCTTATTTCTTATCTTTCAGTCAAAAAGTTGAAATAAAAAAAATATTGTGTGTTCAAAAAAAAAAGAAACGGAGAATTTCCTTTTTTCATACTAACATTCGTTCTAATGATTATTTGGAAAAAATGAATTGAGTTCGTATAGGCATTTTGGATGCCGCTATTGAAATCGCCTTTCTAGCGATATTTTCTGGGACCCCTCCCATTTCATAAAGTATTTTTCCGGGTTTAACAACAGCTACCCAATATTCAGGCGATCCTTTTCCCGAACCCATACGCGTTTCGGTAGGTCTTACTGTAACTAGTTTGTCTGGAAATATGCAGACCCATATTTGTCCACCCCGGCGAACATTTCGTGACATTGCCTGTCGACCCGCTTCTAGTTGTCTAGATGTGATCCAAGTGGGCTCAAGTGCTTGAAGAGCATATTTTCTGAAGCAAATTTTATTACCTCGAGAGGCGTTTCCTTTTAATTTCCCTCTATGATGTTTGCGGAGTCTCGTTCTTTTTGGGTTATAGTTGATGGTTATTTCTCAATTCCATCTCTATTACAGAACCGTACATGAGATTTTCACCTCATACGGCTCCTCGCAAATAAATCGATCGAAAAATCTGGAACCGAAAAAAGAATAATAATTAAAATAATATACACTAATATACATATTTTTTTCTAAAATAGAAAATGAAATAGAATCGCGGGATTTTTGCGGGCGAATATTGACTCTCTGATTATAAATTGAAGATGTAATGTTGGGTTCGTCCACAACTCCTCAATAAACCATGAATTTTTAGTTTCTTCCGCTATCCCATCTAATGAATCAGTAAGATTTCTAATTTTCATGGAATCTTTTGTATTCACAGGTTCTGTCGTTCCCATCGCTTTTCGATTTATGGTTAGGTCTAAATTCTACAATGGAGCTGCTTTAATAAGATTAATAAGATTTTGTTTTTTTTTAATTCTTTTTTGTTGAATCAACCTTCTCAGTTTTCTTGATTCGTGGATCTTTATTCATTTATTCTAATATTCATCCATATATGGATGAATTTTGAATATTGATGCTTTATTACACTACTTTTTATGAGATGACCAATAGACCTTTACATAGTAGAATTCTATATCATTAATATCCTTTTTCTAGCTTTCTTTCACCCCTTCATTTATCTGTATATTCTTATTGCTTTACAACTAATAATTTTATTTTTTTATTTCAGTTGCTATAATTATATCACCACATAGATCCTTATTTTGATTTTCTATTTTCGGCAGTTCTTTCTATCCAGATAATGGGAAGCAATGAGTAGGTTTTTTATAGTAATGAATTCTACGAATTTTTGTAGAAATTGAAACACTAAAAAAAACCAACGAGTCACACACTAAGCATAGCAACTCCTTCATTCTAAAATGATTCATTAATTTTTTTTTTCAATCTTTCAAATTTTGTAATTTCTTCAACGTAAAGTATTTCAAATTGTCATTTTTTGTTTTAAAAAAAGATGGAACGTTATAAGGGAAAGTTCATTATTCGTTGTTTAGAAGTTTTGAAATATCCAGATTTTGACTCCGAATACCCCAAACAAAGTTACAAGTTGATTAGTCGTTTCTAAAGGAACCCTACCTTCTCTCGTCCATTCGACACGTGCAATTTCTTTTCCTTCCATACGTCCCGCAATTTTTATTTGAACTCCTTTTGTATCTGCCTGTTCAGCTAATTCAATACCTTTTTGCATTGCTATACGAAACGAAATTCGATTCTGTAATAGTTCGCTTAAAAATTCTGCAACAATTTTAGCGTCTCTATAAAGATAAGGACTTGGAAGTTTTGTAATTTCAAGGTCGAGTTTTCGGTTCCCACAAGTTACTTTTTTTTGCACTTGAGTCTTTAATTGTTCGACTCTTAGATCCTTAACCTTTTCTTTTAAGGAGTCTGGAAGTCCCATATAGATTATCACTTTAATCAGATCGATTCTTTTATGAATCTTTATTCGTCCCATTCCATAGCCAGAGATATCGGTCTCGAATTCACAGGATTCAGGTACCGTTTTTTGTATATAATTATTGATAAAATATCGTATAATTTTATCTTCTTTTACATTCTCGGAATACATTTTTGGTTTTGCAAACCAAATAGAATAATGACTTTGAGTTGCACCAAGTCGAAAAACAAGCGGATGTATTTTTTGGCCCATAACCACCACTCGGTATCTTTTTGTTTATCCATAATTATATATTTTTTTATTAAACTTTCTATATCTTTATTTCTTTTTCTGTTGCAGAATAATACAATTCTTTTTATTCTGCAACAGATTGAGTAATTTATTAATTAATCTGAATCCTCATCATGTTCATTTTTATCAATGATGATTGTGAAAAGTATCCTAAAATGAATGGGAAAATTCACTTCAATGATGATTGTGACCTGTATTTTTAAATATATGGTAAAAAAAATATAGGTCCAAGGGCAAATTAAGAAATATATTTTTTCTCATTTTTTGGATACCCTCCCAAGTTTTCGAGTAGGTGAAAATTCTCCTAATTTATGGCCTACCATACGATATGTTATATAAATAGGTAAATGCTCTTTTCCATTATGGATAGAAATGGTATGCCCAACCATTGTAGGTATAATGGTAGATGTTCTTGACCAAGTTTTTATTAACTCCTTTTCTCCTTTTGTGTTAAGCTTCTTTATTTTTCTTAATAAATGATTGGCTACAAAAGGATTTTTTGTTCGTGAACGTGTCATAGTTAATTATTCCTCCTATAATAACTAAAAAAGTTAATTTTGTTCTCTTATATTTCCAATTATAAAATATAGAATCTCTAAAAAAAAGAAAATCCCATAATGTCCCAGTAAATTGCTATTTTCTTTTGTAAAGACGAAGAAACAAATTCTATTTTATCTACGCTTACGCTCGACTATTTACTACGGCGATGAAGAATCAAATTATCACTATATTGATTCGTTTTTCTAGTTCTTCTTCCAAGTGCAGGATAACCCCAAGGAGTTGAGGGTTTTTTCCTACCAATTGGGGCCCTCCCTTCACCACCCCCATGTGGATGGTCTACAGGGTTCATAACGACCCCTCTTACTATAGGACGCTTGCCTCACCAATGTTTAGCTCCGGCTCTGCCCAAACTTTTCTGGTTTACCCCAACATTCCCTACTTGTCCAACTGTTGCTGAGCAGTTTTTGGATATCAAACGGACCTCGCCAGAAGGTAATTTTAATGTTGCTGATTTACCTTCTTTTGCAATCAGTTTCGCTACAGCACCCGCTGCTTTAGCTAATTGTCCACCCTTTCCAAGTGTTATTTCTATGTTATGTATGGTCGTGCCTAACGGCATATCGGTTGAAGTAGATTCTTATCAAAACCCCTTCCCAAACTGTACAAGCTTCTTCCAAAGCATACATCTTTCTGGATGTCGATTCTAATATCTATACATTTGCATCTTATATATCGTTTATTTCGTAGATTATAAATGACATAACGAAGTACCATACCACATGAGTGGATATATATTATACGAATCCAAATCTTCCGAATGACTCATGTTATGATCTTCTACATCCTAGGTCTTTCTGTTCCGTTCCTTCATCTGGCTTATGTTCTTCATGTAGCATTCAGACCGAATGACTCTATGAAATTACGTTGCTACTTACACCTAGTACGGATAACGTAGGAGACATTTCTATTTTTTCCCAGGGGAATCCTTAGAATTACCACTGACAAGTAATCATAGAAACGATGGAACCCACCATTTCTTTGTTTATTTTATTTACTATGGTTTTTTGCATACCTAGTATCAATAGAAGTTATTATTTAGAGTTTCAATACTTATACTTAGAAAAAATGAAAAAAATCGTGGTTGGGAAGGTTATAGTAGCAAAAGCCATTGGAATTTTTATTTTATATATTGGAAGAATCCATGTTGTTAGTAATATACTAGAAAGGATAAAAGAATAACTGAAAGAAAAAATCAAAATAGTTATTCATCGAAGTCTCATTTATCCAATGATCAGAACTAAACGAGGATCCATCGCTCGAAAACGGAGGACAAAAAGTCGTTCCTTTACATCAAGCTTTCGCGGAGCTCTTACTCGAACTATTTCGCAACAGAGAAGAAAAGCTTTGGTTTCGTCTCAGCGGGATAGAGATAGGAAAAAAAGGGACTTTCGAAGTTTGTGGATCAGTCGAATAAATGCAATAATTCGACAGAATAAATAAAAAATCTACTATAGTAATTTAATGTATAATCTGTACAAGAATCAATTGCTTCTTAATCGTAAAATCGTTGCACAAATAGGTATATTAAAGGGGAATTGTCTTTTTACGATTGCCAAGGATATCATTAATAAAACTTCCCCGGAGAGTGAACTCTGGGAAGGTGGTAGAATAAAAGAGATTTGTATGATAAAATAGAATTCATATTAATTATGGAAATAATAAACCACGCTAAAAAAAATACCAATCTGCATAAACTCTGAGTTTAGATTCAATTAATGAAGTAAAGTAACTCTATTTTTTTTAGAACAGGAGTTCTAGTAATCGACTTGCTTTTTTCATATTTTTTTTTTTCATATTTTTTTTTTGCAATTTTAAGAAGATGTGAAGAACTTCCAAAAGGTAACAAAGATAAAATACGAGCTTGTTTTATAGCAATCGTAATCCATCGTTGTTGTTTTAAGGTCAATTTATTAACACGTCTAGATAAAATTTTGCCTCGAGTGACAAGTTTGAAAAGTAAACTCAAGTTCTTATAATCAATTTGATCCCCAAATTGGATTAGGGGCGACCTCCTACAAATTGATTTCTTCTTCTTCGATTTAACAAACAATAGCTTATATGATTTAACAAACCGTCGCTCAGATTTATCCATGGTTTGTTTATTCCTATACCGAAAATCCCGTTTGTTATAAAAAAAGGATTTGTTTTAGTTATATATATTCTTTTTTTTTAATAAATTTTATTTTTTATATAAGGAAATAGATCCTATATAATGATATATGTATATAATTTCATGTTATAGAATTTTATTTATAGAATATAGAGAAGATAATTTCTCTGATATCTATATAATTCATTTTTATGTTATTTAATTTTTTCAATTTACCTCCTAAGGGTAATACACAAGTAATACATTTTCTCTATTTCTTGATCTTTGCGTGAATCATATGTTTGCAACAAAAGGGACAAAATTTTCTCAATTCCAATCGACTAGGCGTATTGTGTCGATTCTTTTGAGTAATATATCGAGAAATACCTCTCGATTCCTTATTAACACTCTTTTTATCACAACTAGTACATTCTAAAATAACAGTTATTCGGATATCTTTACCCTTAGCCATGAGCCTCCTTTGGTTTTTTTTATTCACTTAACTCTTCGATTTTAAGATTCGAAGGGAAGAAGAAAGAAGGAACGAAAAAAAATATAAGTTGATAAGTCAAAATAAAATTCTGAAATATTTTGTTCCAATTCATTTTATATAGTACAATAATAATTCACTACTACAATGCTTTCGAAATATATTTCGAATTACAGTATAGTATTTCTGTTTTTATTTAACTATCTTTTATGATATTATTGCCCCTACCCTAATAATTCCATTTCTGGTCTGACTATTAAGAATTCTAATAGTTATTAATAGCAATGGAATTGAAGTATTAATTCAATTCCATTTAAACGAAACTTGGGCAAAATTCAAAATTTCACGGAGGCCCAATCCACCTTTTTGAATTTCCTTAATTTATTATTCTAGTATAATTAATTAGAAAAAAGCAACGAAGAGGGATTGAATCACAAATATTTTATTGGATCCCTAATCTTCGTCACCCTTTCCCGTGCCAATAACTAGAATCAAAAAAAGGGAATGTCAATGCATCTGGGAATAAACGATTGATTTCGATCAAGAGACCCGCTAGAGCCGCAACCCATAAAGTACTTGCCACTGGTGCCACGGAGAGATCTGTTTTTAGATCTCGCATTTCCAATCCTCCTTCATTTTTTCTTATAATTTTGAATACCTAATAATACAGAATATAGGAATATGATTCCGTGTTTTTTTATTAATAAAACCACTTGGATTTGTCGGGGAAGTCCGAATCCAAATTGAATTGTACAACAATTCATTAGATATTTTTTTACAGAGTACTTTTTTTATAAGAACTAGCGTTCAGACGGGCACTCCCGTGCCCGTCTGTCCGCTTTTTTTAATGCGCACAACATAGGAAAATAAACGTGTATATATTTTGTATGAAGTTTTTATCATACTTAAGATTAATTAAAAATAATGTTTTTAAATACCCTCAAGCAGTCTTAAAATCAGAATGATAAATTTATATATACTAAAAATACTTTAGTGAATTAATTATATATTAATGCTACTATTATTTTAAACATACCGAATTAAAATAAAAGTTAGATAAAAAAAATATGTTGTCTAAACATGCTAATAATATTATTACATTTTGAAAATGATAAACAAAGTAATTCTAAATTATATTAAATAACCGAATAATACAAAGTACTATTTATACTGTGTAATCAATAACGTTCTTTAATAGGAAGACCGAACATTAAATCTTTATTCTAAGAAGTTTCTTTTTCCTGCCATTGTTTTGCATATTAAATAAAAAATGTAAGACTCTCATATTAGATTTTTTGTAGAGAAAAAAAATAGTGAAATTAATAGTAATTAGTGTAATATAAAATTTTTTTATCTTGTAAAGATTTGAATTAATTATTCATACATCCTTTTATCAATGCACTATTAAATATACTATTTCAATCTTTAGTGAAGGATGATTTGGTTAAAAAATCCTAGTCTTTATCTTTATACTATTTCAATCTTGTCAATAAAAACTTTAATATAATTGTTAAAGAAAAAAAAAAGGATTGCTATAAAAAAAATTATTACTACAATGCATCATTGTTATTA